CATCAATTAGCTTCTGACAACATTATTTACAAGAAAAACCTCCAAGCAAGTCAAGATTCCTACACCTTCTATTGGAAGACAACAAATCAAGAGAGTAAATCAACAATAGAATAGACATCAACGAAGAAAGTTCCATAATTTCGTGATCATTCAGATTCCCAAAAAAAAATTGAACCTCCAACCCCAGTGAAAGGAAGAGGTTCCAAACATAAAAGCAATGGACACATTATGAGACCTAGGTAGATTAAAAAGGAGACGGAACAAAGATGTTAAAGTAACCTCCCTCACCAAATGTCTTTCCAAAACCAAATTCTTTTCCCATTCCCCACCACCAATCTAACAAATTGAGAAAAAGAGGACAAAGCCTGTGAGATGGGTTTCCAACAGATGTCACACTGCTAAACTCTCTTTGGCTCTTGATCTGGAAACCATATCCTAATTAAGCAAATGATCCTTCACACCTTCACCATAGGCCTCCCATAAAAACTCTCTAATCATCTTTTCCAACTTTTTTGCAACTGTTCTAGTGACTATAAATAGCGACAAAAAAAATATGTTGGGACACTAGCCAAGACAAGCTGAACGAGGGTAAGCCTCCCTCTCTTGTACAAAGATGTCTTCTCTCCTTCCCTTCTGCTCGTTTTTGACTACTGGGTCCCAAAAACTCTTTGATAACGAATTTCCCTCTACTGGCAGAGCTAACAAGGGATGCCCACCCTTAAATTTTTTTTCTTAGTTTTAGTAATATATATTTCAAATTTTCTTATGCATTTTTTATTATGCCAGCCCCATTATTTTCTGATTTTATGAACAATTATAGACTCATACCCAAATGGCTACCAACTTTTGGACATGTCAGAATGAGATTTGGATATACTGTGATCATTTTTTTATTTTTAGGAACACTAAAATGAAAATATTATATTGTACAAATATTAGGGCATTTTTGTAAGCATATAAAAAAGGGTTAAAACTAAAAGTACAAAATCATTTGTAGTTAAAAAGCACAAAGATACCTACGTTTTATCAAATCAGATTAGTCTCATTAGGCTGAAGCCAAAAGAGAGAGGGGAGAAGAAGTCATTGACGGCCGTGAGACGCTCAGACGACTATACTCCCCTCCAGTAAGGTGTGGTTTGTTTTAGTCGAGATCCAAATAGTAGGCAACAATTCTACAAAAAAGTGTAACTCTTGACATTATTATTAGGCTGACAGCTACATGATTGTTGTGAGCTCTTGCATTGAGTTTTCAAACCAAAGAGAGATTGATGATCTTGCTCAAGAAAATGGTTAATGCTAGAACAGATATGGTATATCCATTAGTTTACATACTTGAGACTTCTGCATTAAGTTAATCAGTCGCAATTGCTACTGTAAAGAGACTATTTTCAGCACTAAAAATTGTAAATACTCAATTACGCAACCAAATGAGTGATAAATAGATGACTGACAGCACAATTGTTGATATAGAGAAATATGTTTTCAAAAACATTGAAAATGAAGTCATCATAAGACAATTTTGAAGTATGAAAATTTACCAGATCAATTGTAAATAGTTTTAGGTAACCTTATCTTTTGGTCATTGTATGTATAATGAAATTTAAGTATCCAATATGATTTATATAAATATAAATACAAATATGTCATTTTAAACTTTCTGATTGGGAAAAAAAACTTGTTACCGTGCCCACCCAAGAATGACTTTCTAGCTCCACCCCCGTTTCCCTCTCATAACATTCCCAAATATTTTAAGGGCCCGCCAATTACCACCCCTATCCACTTGCTATTAGACTCTTTAATCTGTTTACCTTCGACCACAAAACCAATCTAAAAATCACAATACTGTTAGCAACGCTATGCAAAGTATCCTCGTTACCTCGTGAAAAGATTGTATCACTAGCAAACCACAGCTATGACACTTCCACACAATCTTTTCTGATTGAAAACTCCTCAACTAATTTACAATATCTAGCTCAGACCAGCAATCTACTAACATATCCACAAGGAAAGTAGACAGAAAAATGTAACAAATGGTCTCCCAACCTAAGATCCCTATATGTCTTGAATCTCCCCCTCTCGACCTTTCATTAAGAGTACAAAAAAATTCTTTGAACTCAAGCATCCTTTTAGATACCAAACTGACAACCTAAAATCACTAATTTTCAAAAAAATTTGCTTCTACGAAATTCAGCAGATGAAAGTAGCACAAGTACTTAGACTAACCACTCCATTATGAAAAACCTTATTCAGCAACAATAGAAAACCCACCAACCCTGATACCACAATCAAATACAGAAGCCCTTACTTCACTTTCTTCAAAGGGCCTTCCAACATGACACCACTTTATCCCACTAACTTCGGCCTCTCCGCAACTAGAGTAGAAAAAAGATTATATGTGTCTAATGACTTTCTCCTTAATATAGCTCTCATCCTTTGGGATTTCTCTACCACTTCCAACTTGTTAACCAAATTGTTTCTTTTCTTACCATTAGCCAACTTATGGAACAACTTTGAAATATTATCACCATGCTTCACCTAGTTAACCTCAGCCTTTTATCTCCAAGAATTACCTAGTTAGCCTTGGCCTTTTATCTTCAAGAATTTCCTCTTTGAACCCAACTTTCACAAATTTGTGTCGAAAATCATTCCATTTTTTCTTAGTTGATTATTACCATCCTGTTTCCTCCAAATTATCATGATTCCTTATTTGATTTAAAATTGTCCGTGTAGCAACTCTTAAATTCTCAAAAATTTCGCTATTCCAGATTTTCATCTTTTCAACTTTTATTTGACAAACTCCAATTTTTTCATAAACCTACAGCTTTTCCATTGTACACACCATTCCTGCACCACATTTTAAAGTTACTCATGAAAAAAATGAAACTCCAAGCACACATTCCTAAACGTAATGGATCTAGACCCTTCTAAAAGAACGCAAATCCACAGCAATGAGACACCAATCATAATAATGATCTGTAACCCCTCTTGGCTCACATTATGAAAACCCCCTCCCACTTGGATGAGGACAAAAATTCTGTCAATCCAAGTGCACACAAGGTTTGATCTAAAATTTGACCAAGTGTAAACTATATAAAACAATGGTGGGTCCCTCAAATTAATTTCACAAATAAGGTCATTAAAATCAAATATACGGCAAGTCATCCTCCCCCATTCAGCTTCTCATTACCATATCTAATTACATAAAATTCATCCCCTAATTCAAAACTTAGGATAGCCCAAACCCAAACCAAATAAGTCTACTAACTCTTTCCAAAAAGATCTTCTATTCTTCTGTCTATTGGGCCCATAAATAGCAAACAACCACCAATCAACCCGTCTAGCATGGTCACTTGAACAGTCACAGAAAAATCACCAAATAGTCTCCAACACTAACACAACTCTAACATCACAAATCACTACAATCCCACCCTCCGACCTACCATAAGAAGGCCAAAAAAACCCACTCACAACTTTACTATCAATAACTTCTCTCTTAATCTGTTGCAATGCAACAATACCAGAATTAACTCTAATCACCACCTCCTTAATGGTCCTTCTCTTCTCTCACCTAAACCATGTGAATTCCATCTAAAAATCTTCAAGGGGAACAATAGCATCCCTTCATTACCACTAGTAGTAGAACCCTCATAATTAATCCCTGATTTCAAGTTTTTCAACTCCATTAACCCTTTTCTATTCTTTTCACCTTTACTTATTTTATTTTTTACCTATACTTCAACTGGAATTAAGGACGAGTTCATTTTTGGCCGAAAAAAATATTGCAATCTAACCAAGTTTTTCTCATTCAACATAAACTCACCATCTTGATTTGCACAACGCTCATTCACCCTCTTCTAAATATATTTTATTCTGGCACCCCTCTAGTAGCCTAACTCCTTTAGTACATCCCTCATTCAGAGTCAAATTAACCTCATCACTCCCAGCTATAGAACCCAGCACTGTCCCAATGTCCTCCATCATCTTAATGAAAAGAATCAAAGGAAAGATACAAACCATTAGAAAAAGGAATTAGATGAAAAAAATCCCCTGCCCTCTTCACCACATTTTGGCGATAAAAGACCATCCCCTTCTCCCTATTAATAAGACCCTCTTGAACATATAAATTCTTTGACATAGAAAATGCCAAACAAGAATCAAGATTTTTACTAAGCTAAAGATCAAGATCAGACCTTACTCCATGATTCAGTTCATCAAATTCAGCAGTGGTTTATCAAACAAGTTCCCGAGTCTACTAGCTAAGTCCTCTACCTTTGAAACATCAACAGAGTACACAACATCACTACTGATACTTCAAACATCCTCCTCAACTATTCCAAAAGTTCCCTCCAATGCCTTTTGAGGAAGACATTCAATTGCAATAAACACTTCACCAATTCCAGTGGTAGGATCCCAACCCCACGATTCCATCTCTGAGCTTGAATGATCTACCCTAAAACTATGTTCGTCATCCCCTCAAAATCAGATCCAGTCTCCATCTCAAAACAAAGATCATTAACATTAAAGATCCCATCATCATTGTCAACTGACCTTGATCAATTCTATCTTCCACAACTCACTGAACAAACCATCCCTTGATGCCACATAATCATCTCTCCCTAAACGCAAATGACCCATCAGAACCGAGCCCGCATTCTTTAGAAATCTTCAATTTGAGGATCCGACAATCACCATAGCACCAATCTCACTCACTCACACAAACGAAAGAGCTCTAATGAGAGATGTCAGACGATCAGTTGATTTAATCCTTGTCAGGTCAAAATTAGTTGGGTCAAAGTTCAACGCGTCATACACCTTTAGAATTTTCCAAAAGCTACCCCAATCATTTCATTTAAACAACCTAATATAGCAAAATGCATTACCATCCGAAGCTCTTACAATAAAATGGGCTCCCATTTACGAATTAGTATTCCTGCCTAGATCACTTTTGCATTTATTCTGAGCCCATTTAACCACCCTTCCACGTTCGCTGACGCTTGCCTCTAGTTGAATTCATTTAGGTCACGCCTTGGTTTCTGTCTAGCCTCCAGCCAACCAACCCAAGTTTGTTCATTACCTTTTGATCCATGTTCCTGACCTCCCTCAATTGGTCCATGATTACTTCGTGCAACCTTTGTTTCCCTACTTCCACTTGATGTCTTCGGCCTAAGGTGCAAGAAATTTCGAGGACTCTGCATCAAACTTTGTCCAACTTCTTTGCCCAACACCTCCAAGCAAACAAATTACCCTTACTATGATCTTATGAATTTTTCTATGATACATGACTTCAAGAAACTTTGGGATGAAGATTGAGGTCTTTGATCACTGATTCTAGCTTCGAACTAGTCTTCCAAATCGTCAGCTTCTATGAAACCTCCACAACAATACCCGGTTTTCATAAACATTACTCACTTCCCCAAGTGAAACAGATAGACCTGCAACTTTAATCTAACCTCTAAAAAAAAGTCACTGCTTTTAACAGCATTAATCTCTGAATGCCATTTTTTATGCTTCATAGCAAACAGTCCTTCCAAGGAGCACCTCTCCCTCATCTACATATTTCATCAGCTTCTTCCAAACTCTCACAGAAGAAAATGACTTTATCTGCTTGAAAATGATACAATTTAATACCAAATTTCAACATTCTACCCAGAGCCCCACCAATCTCTGTCAATGTCCAAACATGCTTTATCTAATACGAACCACAGCACAATTCCACCTTTTTCCTTCAATGAACAAAATAGAATCCGCCACCAAGTTCCACCACAGCCCCTGTTTCTTCCTTTTCCAAGTTCTGCTTCTGTTTTTTCTCCCAAAAACAAATTTCTTTGACTGCCGCAGCAAATTCCAACCACCTTTCCTCTCCCAGCTTGGAATAATTAGTCATACCCTTTCTCCATTGTTCTACAACCTAAAAACTCTGATGAATTCGCCTATACCATTGCGAAAGAACTTAGCCACCACTTTTTAGTTCAAAGAAACTTAAATGGCTGCCTCAATCCATGGAGCACACTCAAAACCCACCGAGAAACAAAAAACACGCCCACTGTACTTTTCAGGAGTTGTCTACCGAACATAATAATGACTTCTATCCCGAAAAGCTTGTGCTCAATCTGGAACACAACAATCTTCTCATATGATGGGTTAGGGCAAATCTAATTAATGCTTATGTCCATTAATCACAATTTATCTTCTGCAAAAATTAATCTTATTAAATTCTTTACTCTCCCATGAATATATACCCTTTATATACTTATTTTCAGATATGATAGAAATAGCATAGAGTACCTTATTTAACTGTGATTAATATTGTCCAAAAAAAGAGGCATGTATAGATATATGTACTCACAGATATAAGAGTCTTTCACACAAAAAATTTCAACAGTACTCAACATGACTATCATGAAAAGATAAGGATTGTCACCCAATACGGTCCCCATTAATCAAGGGTACTAGGAAGAGTGAACTGGGTGCGATTTCAATTTCGATATTATTCAAACAAAATGGCAGCCCTTACATCCAAATCCGCAACATCATGATTATTAGCAAAACACCTTTACCATTGCACCAGGCAATGGTCCCTATCACAGGCATACACATATATACATCTATATGCATAAATCATAATGGAACACTAGAACAATGAAATCAAAAGTTTGTACTCAGAACATGCATGCTAACCTCATTTGGATCAAAATAAGTTCGAACAAGGAGATGCTCCAATCGCAAGTATCTTTCAGGTTGCTCCTGCTTCATCACACCCATTGCTTGGGTTTGTCTTAATATAGCACGAGCAGTGTCCAACTCTCGAAGTTCAATCATTTCCAAAACAATCTAGTATGGATAAAGGATAGAAAAAATAGGAAAATTATTACATGCCAAAAAGAAAGGGCGTCTTATCAGGAGAAAAAAAAAAAGAAAGGGCAACAATGAACAATATTTGTCTTCTTCAGACAAACACAAGGAAACTAAGGCAAGGACAGGACTGTGTTGCAGCAAGTTTGGGTTCATTCTGAAGTCAACTGAAACAAAAAAGCAGCACTCCTGCTAATTTTCAATCCCTTAGAGACCATCAATGCATTTGAATCGAAATTGGCATTCAAGAAACTAAATGTGCCAAGCTTGGCTAATAATTTATTCAAAAAGTGACAAAAGTAGAGATGCCACCAAGGTTCCTTTTTTTTTCTATCTTGAGTCACCCCGGGGTGGACAGGAGGAGTGGGAGGGACGCGATAAAAAACAAGAAAGGAAAACATGTTTCTATGATACTCGTGAGATTCCTAAAAGTTTTAACGCACATCTCTCATCATGCCATCTGGTTGCTGGGTTGGAAAACGGGGGTGCCTTGAACAGTACGAGAACATGTTTTCATGTTGTTTTGAGTCTATTTTGGGCACTGTGGGTAAACGATTTGAAAGGAATTAGTCCTAGCAATAGTAAGAACAAGATGAATGTACGGAGAAGGCTTGTTAAGTAAGGTTTCAACTGCGAAAAAAGGCAATATTAGATCTGTTTTTGACGATAGAGGGCTGAAGAAAGCCTAGACCTCACACCTACATTCTTAGAACTCACAACTAAGAGAGAAGGAAAAGCCTACAAGTCAAACATTGGCTCTAGTGCCTCACACCTAAAAGAAGGTGCATCAAACATCTCAATAAATTTTCACAAAAGATATAACAATTATCTAAATCAAAAGAAAGGAAAAACAATAAGACATAGATGGCAAAAACTTAGGGACCAAGAAGTGCTTGGTGATTAGTAAATTTGGGGCCGAATTTGTTTGACTTATATACTACGGACTCTCTACCAAAGGATTTAGACCATCATTTGGACGCACAAGACCTAAAAAACATGGCGCAAAATTTACAAATGCTACCACAATGTAAAAAGATCCCGTAAGGCAGTCCAGTATTACAGCTAAAGGACAAAACTTCATAAGAGTCATGTTATAGAAGTTACTTATTCTGCACTATCCTTCGTAACACTAATAAAAATAACTTATTTAAATGACACACACACTTAAAAGCCTCCAAACTAGTCAAATTCGAACTTCAAATCGCAGATTGCTTTTTTCTTTGAATTTTTGTTCCTTTGGTGTCCAATGTTCTGCATCAGTGAAATAGACCTAGGTACTTGTCATCTTTTAAGCCAGCCCAAGTATAAGTAGCAAAGTTTCTTTAATAGCACAGTCAAAGATCTTGTAATACCATATACTTCATTAAATCGCCTCAAATGGTTATTGCAAGTGCTTTGATTCTCTTTCTGACATTTCCCCTTCTAAATGCATTTATCATGCCTAATTGCCAACATCGCCAAAATATATAATTATCCTGACAAATGTCCCATTCCAATCTCCATATTAGTGAAGTAACCTAATTCAACACAAATCTTTCACCCCTGACCCAGGAGAAATGAAAACCCGACTGTGCCGTAAGTCTCACCTTTGCTTACCATATAGTGATCACACTGATGTCATTTTAACTTTTAAGCAACAAAATAATAAGAACATCAAAAAGCTGAAGAGGCTAAGATATCGCAAGGCTCAAACGTACACAATGAAATGGCAAACAGGAACAGACTTTCTACATCAATCACCTGTTACATACCTGCTCATATAAATCCTCTAGTTTCTTCCTGGGAAGCTTGAGCTGTGCCACTTGAGGTAATATTGCATCCCACCTTCCACTATTAATGTCCGCAACAAATGTTTCAAGGCTGTCTACTGTATTTAGAGAAACCTGGCACTCATTTTGTAATGTTTGGAAAGTTTGATGCAAAGAATTTTCCTTGCAAAATTGAAGAACTATCTTAATCACGCTGCAAAAATAAAAGTATACCACATTAGACTTGCTCGTCATCCAATAAGTATAATGCATCCCAAAAAAACGTCTATTGGCCCAGAATAAAAGCAGAAAAAGGAAAAAGTGTCAAAAAACATTAAGTGCATGCCGGACCAACAGAGGAAAATATGACAAAAAGACCGCAAGGTTGTAGCAAAGAGTCTGAAAACAACACAGTTTTCATGTGGAAACCATATTATGTTGGGATCCTGTCCAGGAACGCCATTGTAAACAGAAATTTAAACAAGGATGTGCTTCAGGGTCTGTTTATTTAGCAAGATAGTGGTAGAAAATGCAAGAAAGAAAAAAAATTAAAATTTTTCATGTTTTTGGTTAGCATGAAATGGAAAATGAGAGAGAAAATAATTTTCCTCCATGTCCAGATTTTCTCACAATTAACCAACTTTTGATTCTTGCAAAAACAAACAAGAAAAGGCAAGAAAATTGTGATCAATAACCTAACTTCCCATTTTACACTTAATTTTCTTAAAATATTCAATTAGTTATTAATCTGAAAAGGTAAGCTAACATATAATTTGATCTAGAAATCTAGGTTCAGGTCAATCATTGTCCTAGAATCAGGTTAGGAGGCAATTCTTTTAAAAGTTTTAATTTTTAATTATAATATTTTTTTTCTTCTTTAGATCGAGTTCATATAATTAAGGATAATTTAGACAATTAGAAAAAATTTCTTATAATTTTCCTTTCTTTCAAATAATAACATGAATATTTTTTATAACTTTCTTAGAAGTTTTTTATGTAAATCAAATACATGCATGAAAATATATTTTTTTTAATTTTCTTTTTTTTTTTACTTCATTTTTTACCACTTTCACTTTCCATTATCCTTTTCTTCCTAACCAAATGGATCTTCAGCGTTTACAAGAAAATTCAACCACGTGAAAACATTTTCAGCCCCAGGAAATATATATGACACAATGAGAAAAATAAAATGAAGGTGAGATGAGACATCAAGTAAGGTTGAAGAGTGCTAGAGCATCCAACTCACTAATTGACAATGAGTGGAGAGGTCCCTCAAACATATAAACTCACCTTGAATGATCCTAATTATTAGATTTATGATATAAGCTCCCTTTACACCCTTCCTTTCATAGAACCCGAGCCCGCACGTGCGGCTAACAAACAAAGAGACAAACATGCATAGAGAAATGCAAATAGGCAAGAATCTTGGCCCACTGACAACCTAAGACCCACTTTTGATACCATGCTAGATCATTTTCAAGCATAAAAACCAACCATGGGTAGTACTAATCATTCAACGGGGAATACAAGCTCTCTTTACAGCTCCTTCATGTGGAACCTAGTCTAGCACTTAGGGCTACCAAACAAACATGTATATTGGAAATTCTAATGGATGAAAGACTTGACTCACTAACCACAAAAGGCAACATATAACTCAAAATCAATTGACAATAACTGAAAAGACCCCTCAAACATAAAAACCAATCTTGCGTGATCATAATCTTTTGATGTGGAATACAAGTTGACTTATACGCTTGAGGATCGCCTAATGTTGTATCTCAAATCAAATGACTAAGATCACCCAATATTTGCGTATATGCTTGAAGCGTCTCTCCACTCATTACTAATTGATTTTGAATTGAATGATCTAACATAGGATTAGAATTGGGCCTTGCGCACTCTGCTAATTGGTTTTGAGTTAGATGATCCAACACAATTTTAGAGCTAGCCTTGGGTGGGCAGTGCTTCAAGACCTTTACGCATTTGCATTTCCCCGTATGCATGTTTGTTTGTTTGATTATTAGTCAAATGTACGAGACAGGGTCCTACATCAGGGAGGATGTAAAGAGAGCTTGTATCCCAAATCGAATTATTAAGATAAATCAAATAAAACAAAATTCTAATTAATTTAAAAAAGTGTACAAAAGGGGTGGACAAGAAATCCACCCCAAGATAAAAAAAATACATTAAAGAAAAAACATTACATCCCTATAAAACATGAGCAATTTATTAGTTACTTGAGTTGTCCACTCATTACTAAGAAAGTAAAAAATTATAGGGAGAATCTCACTTTACACCCCGAAAGATTTAAACTTTTTCACTTTGCACCCTAAAAGATTAGATTTTCCATATTGCACTCTCAATGTATTAAAAGTGTTGCAATGTGACTCTTTTGTTATATCCTTAAACTCTTTTGTAGTTAAAGTCCAAAGGGAAGCCAAAAACTTTGCTCTATCACAAAGAAGCTTCATAATTTTTTCCTTTCCTTTAAAAATTATGTTATTCATTTCCAACCACACCACCCATAAACTACACATTCCCACAATATAGATATTCAACTACATTTCCCGAACACACCATAACTTGCTTCTAATTGCAAAACACATCCTCTCAGAATTACCCAACACAATACAAATTCACCCAAAAGCTCTACACCACAATCTCATAGCTACCACCCCGTAGAGAAAAAGATGATCCACACTTTCCAAACTCCCCCTCCACATAATGCACCATTGTGGAGAAAGACAAGAATTTAGTCTTCTCCTTTGCAACAAATCACAAGTATTAATATAACCTTCCAAATCATCTTATGGGGTTCAAACATTGAATGCATTGATCGTCAATCAAATTTTAGAAATAAGATTTGCAAGAATAGGCACGACTAGAATCAAGAATCCACCATTTACTATCCTCCACCCCTAGCAATAATGACACATAATGAAGTGCAGACCATCCTTTTCATTTAAGGCCTTAAAGAAATTAAAGTTCATCGCTCAAGGGATTAAGAGACACAATACATACGGGCTATGGAAGCCTCTTGTGACCTTGATAACCTAAAAATGATGGGGATAAGGCAAAGCAAAAGCAGAATCCCCCTTCCCTATATCTCTCTAAAATCGAATTCTCCCACCATTCCTCACTCCCATTTTTATAAACCCCAAAAAAACCATCTAAATCCTCTGAAATGAATTTCCATGGACGGTGGTATAAGCATCTCATTACCACATTCAAGTCCCAACCATTAGGATAAAGTCATACTTGTGTTGGATAACTTCAAGCCACAAAACCCCTTGTTCTATTGGGAACCTTCATAACCACTTTCCTAGCTCTAGTATGCGTAGGAACCAAATTTCTCTGAAATCGACTACTTTTCCTTTTTTTTTTCTTCTTTGGATAGATCATGGGAAGGAATCCACTCCAAAGTGATCCCAAAATCAACACATCGGTTCAAAAGACTAAAATCTAGACATCATTTTGAGCCAACATCTCAACCGGTAGAACTCAAGAAAATCTAGCAGGAGCCAAGAAACAAAACAAGCCATGAACAGAACACCCACCAGAATCTATTTATAGTGAATAATCATCAAATCATATCTTGATTAATTTTGATTNTATGTTTATCTACAGGAGGTGTGGATAAAGTTTGTCCTCAAATATATCATAGACAATTTAGTAAAATTGTATTTTAGTTAATATTTTTAATCTAATAAGGTGTCGGTGAAAATTCATAAAATAAATGGGATGTTCTTCAAGATATGATAAACTAGAGAGTGTATGATTGAAATTTTCCTAATTTATTTTAAAACTCAATCTCTTTGTTAAAACATCATTTTAAATAATATTTTAATGATCTAAAATGCCATTCAAAATAATTTTTTAAACTGGATAAAATTATTGATTAAATTATCTATACATTCAAGTATAATACAATTTAATTTTAAAAGATAAACAAAATGACTTTTAATATTTGCAGTTGAGATCTTTTCAATTTTAATTTTAATTTAATTTAACTGCTAATATTAACACTCTAAATTTAATAGGAAAAATAGGTCTCTAAGAGTGTGTTTAGTATGAATTTTTAAAAGTGTTTTTAAAACTTATAATTTATCATAAGTACTTTAAAAAAAATATTTGGAACTACTCCACCGCCACCCCCATCGCCCCACCATCATCACCCCTACCACCACCACCAAACTACCCCCACCATCATCACCACTACCATTACCACTACCATCTCCACCGTCGTCACCTCACCATCACCACCTCACCCAGCATCTCACAACCACCATCACCACTACCGCCACCCCCCCGCCCCTTATCCCCACCATTGCTGTCATCACCATACCACCCCTTTTCATCACCACCTCACCACCACCGCCACTGCCACCCCCATCACCACTACCGCCCCGACCACCATCATCGCCACTACCCCCACCACCACTACCATCACCTCCACCCCATCGCCACCCTACCACCACTACCCCTATCGCCCCACCACCACCCTCATGACCATCACCACTACTACCATCGCCATCATCCCCACTACCACCCACCACTATTACCTTCGTTCACTCCCTCTATAATTTGTGCTTAAATTTCTTTCTCTCTTTTCTATATTTGTAATTTGATTTTAGATGTGAATACATATATATTTATTGTTGATNGCAAAGCAGAATCCCCCTTCCCTATATCTCTCTAAAATCGAATTCTCCCACCATTCCTCACTCCCATTTTTATAAACCCCAAAAAAACCATCTAAATCCTCTGAAATGAATTTCCATGGACGGTGGTATAAGCATCTCATTACCACATTCAAGTCCCAACCATTAGGATAAAGTCATACTTGTGTTGGATAACTTCAAGCCACAAAACCCCTTGTTCTATTGGGAACCTTCATAACCACTTTCCTAGCTCTAGTATGCGTAGGAACCAAATTTCTCTGAAATCGACTACTTTTCCTTTTTTTTTTCTTCTTTGGATAGATCATGGGAAGGAATCCACTCCAAAGTGATCCCAAAATCAACACATCGGTTCAAAAGACTAAAATCTAGACATCATTTTGAGCCAACATCTCAACCGGTAGAACTCAAGAAAATCTAGCAGGAGCCAAGAAACAAAACAAGCCATGAACAGAACACCCACCAGAATCTATTTATAGTGAATAATCATCAAATCATATCTTGATTAATTTTGATTAGATGGTTAAAGACTGTGGCGACAGGAAGAGTAACAGCAGAAAAATTTTGAATCATAGATTTGCAATGTATGGACCCCGGATTGCAAAAAAAAATTAAAAACACATCGTGCAATTTTTTCGCTGAGTGAAGCTTTCACTATTCTTGTCCAAAACCAAAACACAACATAGTGCAGGACTCAAATTTTGATTGTTTCTGGAACAATAGCCAAAACTCTGTCCAATATGGGATTAGAAAACAAATTAGATTTAACCGTTTAACTACCAGGACCAAGCAAACGAAAGGAGTAATAGCCATCAACCAACAAGCCTTGTGCAATTGTGTACTTTATTAACATTAAGCATGATAAGAACTATATAAGAGAGCTTACTCTCTAGCTTCGATTTCTAGGGTAGACATCGTTCAACTTCCGAAACGCCAAGAAGCAACGGCACACGGCACACAGACTAATGCGTCGTAACTCAGGAAAAAAGGAAGAGAGGAGGCAAGTCTGTGAAACTTGACCGTAGTCGACGGTTTTGGAGCTTTCGACCTACCAAGCCCAGCAAAACTTCATCAACAGAACAAGTCTGTTTTTAATTTATTTGGGAAAATTTTAGTCGCATCCTCCTAATTAACTATATCGTCAAGGACACCCCTCTATTATCAAAAACATCAATAACACCCCTTCTAATTTATATTTAAATATTACTAACACCCTTACAATTAAACTACCATTTTTAATAAAAAAAAATAATCTAAAATACCAAAAATATCCCTACATAAACATCAAGTAATTTTATTACATAAAATTTTATTAAAATTCGAGCCGATTAAAATTTATTTTTCTACATATTAAAATTTGAACCAATTAAAGTTTGATTGAAGCTGATTAAATTTTATTTTTTTTAATGTATTAAAATTTGAGCTTATTAAAATTTATTTTTTACATATTAAAATTTGAATTGATTTGAACTCTACTTGAGTTATTTGCTCCGATTAAAATTCATTTTTGAGTTGATTAAAGTTTATATTTTTTATTTATTAAAATTCATGTCAATTAAAATTCGATTTATTAAAATTTGAGTCAATNGTGCAGGACTCAAATTTTGATTGTTTCTGGAACAATAGCCAAAACTCTGTCCAATATGGGATTAGAAAACAAATTAGATTTAACCGTTTAACTACCAGGACCAAGCAAACGAAAGGAGTAATAGCCATCAACCAACAAGCCTTGTGCAATTGTGTACTTTATTAACATTAAGCATGATAAGAACTATATAAGAGAGCTTACTCTCTAGCTTCGATTTCTAGGGTAGACATCGTTCAACTTCCGAAACGCCAAGAAGCAACGGCACACAGACTAATGCGTCGTAACTCAGGAAAAAAGGAAGAGAGGAGGCAAGTCTGTGAAACTTGACCGTAGTCGACGGTTTTGGAGCTTTCGACCTACCAAGCCCAGCAAAACTTCATCAACAGAACAAGTCTGTTTTTAATTTATTTGGGAAAATTTTAGTCGCATCCTCCTAATTAACTATATCGTCAAGGACACCCCTCTATTATCAAAAACATCAATAACACCCCTTCTAATTTATATTTAAATATTACTAACACCCTTACAATTAAACTACCATTTTTAATAAAAAAAAAAATAATCTAAAATACCAAAAATATCCCTACATAAACATCAAGTAATTTTATTACATAAAATATTATTAAAATTCGAGCCGATTAAAATTTATTTTTCTACATATTAAAATTTGAACCAATTAAAGTTTGATTGAAGCTGATTAAATTTTATTTTTTTTAATGTATTAAAATTTGAGCTTATTAAAATTTATTTTTTACATATTAAAATTTGAATTGATTTGAACTCTACTTGAGTTATTTGCTCCGATTAAAATTCATTTTTGAGTTGATTAAAGTTTATATTTTTTATTTATTAAAATTCATGTCAATTAAAATTCGATTTATTAAAATTTGAGTCAATGAAAATTTATATTTTTTTATGTATTAAAATTTGGACTGATTAAAATTCAATACGAGTTAATTAAAATTTGATTTAAGTCGATTAAAAATA